ACTTCTGTGGTAAATACTGAAGACGAAGTTCATCATAAGCGTTACAAATTAATAAAAAATGATATTCATTCTCGCCAACCTTTGGTTGCAACTATTGCACAATCTCTGCTCTCGTGGAGTATTAACGTATCTACCAGTCTCAATATGGAGAGTGTGGGAGCTACAGCGAAACTGGGCTAGTGCAACACGAAATTTGATGATAGTGATAGCAGACAAATACAACTCTAGACTGAATGAATTTTTGAAAAGTGTATAATGGAACATTTTAGAACTATTTGCTAAAGACCAATGCCAGTCCTGTTCGTAAGCAAATTTTAACCGATCTTCACATTCGGAAATAAATGATTCGGGGCAAATAACATATTGGTTCTCCCATATATATCCAAATCCAAGGCTGTATAAAAGAGTTTTGACTTTTGTAGCCCAATTAGTTTTACCATGTGTGGCTAGCTGAAATAACATATCATAACTTTTCTTAGGATATCGTGAATTTGGTAGGGACATAAGTTTACACCAATATTTTATACAGCGTTTTATACGCAGACATGTACAGTGGGTATCTTCCACACTCTCCTCGCACAACATGATTGGGAGTAGACGTTGTAACACCTAGCAGACGTTTACAAGCAAGTACATGGATACTTTCTATTTCTTTGCAGTTTTCAAAACTCCACATTTCAGCCCCATATAACATAATTGGAGCAATTGTAGTATCGAATATTTTAAAAAATAGTTTCAGTGGAATAGGTTTAAGTGATGAAAGGGATTTTAGAACCGAGAACAATACCCGTTTAGCCTGTAATGAAGCATTGTAAATATGTTTCGACCATGATAAATTCTTTGAAAATACAACTCCCAAATATTTGTACGATGATACACATTCCAACTGACAACCAGTGAAATACCATTTCTCAGATCTAGGAGGTACACCACCATTCTTAAAAACTACTATTTTCGACTTATCAAGATTTACCTTTAGGGAATAATTCTGGCAATAGTGTTCGAGTACATCGATGCGTTTTTGGAGGCCATATACAGTATCTGATATAAGAATTACATCATCAGCAAAGAGTAGCAGGAATAGTTGAATTATGTCTGGATGGAGCTGGATTCCGGGTTCACAGTTAGCCTCAATTTCAACAGCTAGATCATTGATAAACAATGAAAACAAAAACGGGCTCAGTACACAGCCTTGTCGGACACCCAAGTCACAATCGAATACATCTGAGAAGTTATTGTTAAACTTTACACAGGAACGTACAGTCGTATATATGGATTGTATACATTTAAACATTTTAGGTGACACACCACTGTTATTTAAAACTATCCATAGTTTTGATCTGTTTATAGAGTCGAACGCTTTGGAGAAGTCTACAAATAAAGCTTATAGTTTACCTCGCTTCTTCCCCAGATAACGCTGTATAACTGACTGTAAAATAAACATATTATCAATTGTGGAATAGCCACAACGAAATCCTGCTTGCGACTCCACAACTTTATCATAGGCATCACACCAAGACTGCAACCTTCTATTTAGAACAGAAATATATAACTTGCTAAAAATACTTAATACTGTAATCCCTCGGTAGTTATCGGGTGTATTAGTATCCCCTTTCTTGTGTAATGGTACAATTTGGCCAGTCGACCAGGAAATCGGAAAATAAGCGGAATCAAACATCTCGTTAAACAGACAGGTAATATAGGGAACTAACACATCGCATGCGTATTTGAACATTTCAGCAATAAGCTTATCACTGCCGGCAGCTTTGCCTGTTTTCAATTTGTTAATTACCTCAATTACCTCCTGCTGTTCAATTGGCGAGTCTAAGATAGATTGAGTTAAGTCATCAAAATTGTTATCTGGCACAGTGTTATCTTCATCCCCCATTTCTGAATCGAACAACCCCTTAAAATGTGAAAACCATTGCTCAATATTTATATTTGGCTTAGGACGGACAGTGGTAGCAGACAGACGTTTCAAATTTGCCCAAAATATTTTACTGTTATCCAAGTTACTCAAAATGGTACTCTGTACATTGTCTTGATATAACTTCTTTTTTTCACGGATAACATGTGTATAAGTATTTCTTGCCTTAATATAGTTACAAAGTGATGACGAATCTTTTAGTGATCGGAAAACCTTAAGAAGCCTATATCTTTCACAGCGGTGGTATTCACACTCCTTATCGAACCATGGCTGTTTACTTCTAGAAATATAAGAAGGGCGTTTCATACATTTCGCAGCGGTACATAAAACATCTGAAAATACCTCAACTGCTTTATCAATTTTACCTGAAGCGATAAAATCTGAACACTTGTCAAGCATTGAAATAGAATTTGTAGACAGTAAACTGTCTCTAAAAGTTTGAGTTTTGTCCTCGTTCCACACAAAGCGGTAGCTGTCCCCTGGGTCTCGTGCAACACGCTCACGGTCTCTCGATCCAGCTTTGGCACGTGCGTGAAATGAACATATAACTGGCATATGGGCCGACTCTGTTCTATTTGCAATGTCAAACTGTTTGCACAACATAAACAATGAAGGGGATGCAACAATATAGTCGATTACGCTTGTGCCATTGTGGCTGATGAAGGTAAAGTCACCTTTTGCCGCGTCTGATCCACATCGGCCATTGAAAATGCACAAATTCAAAGCACTACATACGTTTAGTAAAATCTTACCAAGGCGATTAACATTAGTATCACAAGAGAAACGTTTGGTGATCACACTGCCATAAATATCAGAAGGTTCCTGGATGCCAAGCCTTTCAGCAATATCACTCTCTGCGGCATCGGGCTCATTACCGGTTCGGGAATTAAAGTCACCTCCAAGCATGATAAACATATCACCATATTTTTGTATAACATCTAACAAGGATTCAAATAATAAACTTATTCCACATTTTGTTGGTTTACCCCTGTACCAAGTTGACCCATCAGGATTGACATAAACACAAGCTACCAATACATCTTTTTCTAGCTTAAATACCGATTTATCCAAAATAACATATATCACATTCTGTCCAATAATGTGCTCTTTGACATAATTGACTAGAGACTTTCTAATAAGTACTACAATCCCCCCCCCGATAATCTCCCACAAGATGACAATCTCTCTGCAGACAAAACATATGGCTGGTAATCACCGAGCTGTTGATCAAAATCACAGTCCTTGGCCCATGTTTCTGTGAGTCTAATAAAGTCAAACTGTGTGATATATGAAACAAATTCATCGTCTAGAAGTTTATTAGTAATACCGGAAATGTTCCAGAACAAGAAATCTGAAATTGATTTAGTAACACAGCGATAATCCGGGCCTCGGCCACACCTCTATTTATCTTTAGTATCTGTGTCCTGCCTATCTGAATGCTGTTGGTAATCCTTAACTACAAGGGCACCATTCTTGTAGTAGCCTTGCTTGTTGTTACGTCTCAAATCCTGGAGTACTTTTCTCTGGTGTGTGGTGATATCACTGCCTATACCATATCCACTCTCCTTCAGTTTATCGCGCAGGCCTATTGCTCTCACTTTGCAGTCCATAGAATTGAATCGAACTATAATAGGTCTCGGGCGATTAGACTTTGCATAGCCAATCCTATGGGCGTTCACAATGTCGGTTGCTGAAAATGGAGTACCATCATTATGGGTGTTCAGTGTTTCGCAAATAACTTCCTTTATGTTCATTTTATTTTCATCAGGTTTCTCAGCGACACCATACAGCAGTATATTCTGCTTCCGGCTGTACTGTTCTAGTTTATCCACAGTATTCTCAAGGTTGTCAATCTTATCGGTAACATAACTATATGCTGACCTGTCTAAAGTAGAACTATGCTCCTTATACAAGTCAGGAAATGCCAGTCAACCAAACAATTACAGAGGTATATCTGTTTTGAATGTCATGGGAAAGTTATTTGCATGTATTGTTGAAAAACGACTTTGAATTTAGCTTGAAGTAAGTGATATGATATCCAAAGGTTTAACTCTGAGTTTTCTACAGTTGACAATATCTTTGTTTTACAGTCACTTTGCTCAAAATATTTATGTTATCCTAATGTCGTTTTTATTGCGTCTTTGTTGACTTCCGCAAAGCTTTTGATAGAAAGACACTGCTGTGCCTCACTAAAGGATGTCATGGAAAACTGTCAATTGTTTTTCAAAATACGTATTCCCCAGTCAAAGCATGTCTCAAAACTGACTCGGATATAACTCCTTGTTTTACTAATTCCAGCGGTGTTCGTCAAGGTTGCATCTTAAACTCCGTCTTATTCATCTTTTTATAAACGAACTTTTTTCTGAAATTTACAAAGAATGTCATCATGGTGTGTTTGTGACGCAAGACATAATAGATATTATGCTATTACTGTTCGCGGATGATGTTGCTCTGGTGCCCTACTGTGTGGTAGGCTTGCAGAAACAGTTTAATGTAGCGCAGTCCTTTGTATTAAGTGGGGTTCAGAAGTAAACCTTGTGAAACTCAATGTTATTGTTTTTAAAATTGGTGGAATTGTATCGAAGCATGGTGGTGATATATTGTGATAAACGTTTGAAACTTGCTGGTTATTATAAGTAGTTAGGTCATTAATGTCCTCGAGACTAAATTACCCCAAGGCTTGTAAGACCTCAGCGCTACACGCATCTAAAGCAATGTTTCCTGTTAATAAATTATTTAAGGAAAACAAATGTATCTCATTTTCCACAGCAAATTCTATATTTGATGGTAAAATTCTACCCATTTTGTTATACCATGCGGAAGTATGGGGGATGAAATATTTTGAATCCTTTGAAAAAAATCATACTTTGTATTTTAAGCGATGTTTATGCATTTGTAAATATGATTAAAATATAGTAGTACTTGGTGAAACTGGTCGCTGAAGTATATATGTTCTTAGCCAGCTGCGTGTTGTTAAAAATATTGGATAAAATTATTAAAAATGGAACCTCACAAGCACCCATTTCAATGTTATAATTAAAGGGAAACGAATTGGGTGTCTGGTGTAAGAATCATGTCCCTGACTCTACAACTAAGCTCCACCCTAGTTCCTACCCACTCCCTCATCCTCCTACCCTCGCTCCCCCCCACACACCAGCCACAGCTGCTTCCCTCCCTCGCCCACCCACAGCTGCTACCCTCCCTCGCCCCCCACAGGTACCACCCACAGGCACAACCCACAGGCACCACCTAGAGCTGTTACCCTCCCTCGCGCACCCCCACAGCTGCTAGCCTCCCTCACCCACCCACAGCTGCTACCCCTCCTTGCCCATCCACAGACTCCACCCACAGTCACCACCCACAGCTGATAGCCTCCCTCGCCCATCCCTACACACCACCCACAGCTGTTACCCTCCCTCGCTCACCCCCACACACCACCATAGCTGCTACCCTCCCTCGCCCACCCACAGGCACCACCCACAGCAGCTACCCTCCCTCGCCCACCCACAGGCACCACCCACAGCTGCTACCCTCCCTCGCCCACCCACAGGCACCACCCACAGCTGCTACCCTCCCTCACCCACCCACAGGCACCACCCCCACACACCACCATAGCTGTTACCCTCCCTCGCCCACCCACAGGCACCACCAACAGCAGCTACCCTCCCTCGCTCACCCCACACACCACCCACAGCAGCTACCGTCCCTCACGCACCCCCACACACCACCCACAGCTGCTACCCTCCCTCGCCCACCCGCAGGCACCACTCACAACAGCTACCCTCCCTCGCTCGACCCCACACACCACCCACAGCTGCTACCCTCCCTCGCTCAGCCCAACACACCACCCACAGCTGCTAGCCTCCCTCGCCCTCCCACAGTCACCACCCACAGACGCTACCCTCCCTCGCGCACCCCCACACACCACCAACAGCTGCTACCCTCCCTCGCTCACCCACAGGCACCACCCACAGCTGCTACCCTCCCTCGCGCACCCCCCCCCACACCACCAACAGCTGCTACCCTCCCTCGCTCACCCACAGGCACCACCCACAGCTGCTACCCTCCCTCGCCGACCAACAGGCACCACCCACAGCTGCTAGCCTCCCTCGCCCACCCACAGGCACCACCAACAGCAGCTACCCTCCCTCGCTCACCCCACACACCACCCACAGCAGCTACCCTCCCTCGCGCACCCTCACACACCACCCACAGCTGCTACCCTCCCTCGCTCAGCCCAACACACCACCCACAGCTGCTAGCCTCCCTCGCCCATCCACAGGCACCACCAACAGCAGCTACCCTCCCTCGCTCACCCCACACACCACCCACAGCTGCTACCCTCCCTCGCCCACCCACAGGCACCACCCACAGCTGTTACCCTCCCTCGCGCACCCACATGCACCACTCACAGCAGCTACCCTCCCTCGCCACCCACAGGCACCACCCACAGCTGCTACCCTCCCTCGCTCAGCCCAACACACCACCCACAGCTGCTACCCTCCCTCGCCCTCCCACAGTCACCACCCACAGACGCTACCCTCCCTCGCTCATCCACAGACACCATCCACAGCTGCTACCCCCCCCCCCCCCCCTCGCCCACCCAAAGACACCACCCACAGCTGCTACTCTCCCTCGCTCACCCACACACACCACCCACAGCTGCTACTCTCCCTCGCTTACCCACACACACCACCCACAGCTGCTACTCTCCCTCGCTTACCCACACACACCACCCACAGCTGCTACTCTCCCTCGCTCACCCACACACACCACCCACAGCTGCTACTCTCCCTCGCTTACCCACACACACCACCCACAGCTGCTACTCTCCCTCGCTCACCCACACACACCACCCACAGCTGCTACTCTCCCTCGCTTACCCACACACACCACCCACAGCTGCTACCCTCCCTCGCCCACCCATATGCACCACCCAAAGCTGCTACCCTCCCTCGCTCACCCCCCACACCAACCCATAGCTATTACCCTCCCTCACCCATCCATAGACACCACCCACAGCTGCTACCCTTCCTCACCCACCCACAGACACCATCCACAGCTGCTACCCTCCCTCGCCCACCCACAGACACTAACCACAGCTGCTACCCTCTCTCGCCCACCCAAAGACACAACCCACGGCTGCTACCCTCCCTCGCTCGCCCAGAGACACCATCCACAGCTGCTACCCTCCCTCACCCACCCATAGACACCACCCACAGCTGCTACCCTCCCTCGCTCGCCCACAGACACCACCCACAGCTGCTACCCTCCCTCGCTCGCCCACAGACACCATCCACAGCTGCTACCCTCCCTCGCTCACCGGTCTCCACGTAGCCCCGGGACGCCAGCAGTGGACAGTGACATACCGAGGGAGGCACGCTGTACCTGAGCGTTATTTGCACCTGGCTCTTCTATCAGTGGCCAACGAGCATTCAGCAAGATCGGTCGGACTGGGCACTGAAGTCATAGCTTAACCAAAGGTAAGAAGGCCATTTTAGAGAAGATTTAAACAACACATTAGCGTGGTTTTCTGGTGAAACGATCATATGGTAATAATATCAGATAGAGGATCGGTTGAATCGAACATAATCAATTAATTAACATTTTTGCTGTAATGGGCGTGGTGGGTACTTTCTCTTTATTTTAACACCTTTTTGATTTTCGTATGTCTTTTTGTTCAGTTACATATAACAGTCTGCCTTAGAGTACGAAATAGAACACGCCATTACAAAACTCGTTTTGAGATTTTAGATTATACATTAATTATAATAAACAATTCAGAGCAGGTTAATATGATCTAAAGATCTATAAAGGTATATTTCAAAAGTCACAATATCTGTACATCTTGTAACCTTAATGTTGTATCATTTTATGCTTGTGTGTAAACTCTATCTTCAATTAAGAAACAAGTATATTACAAAGAAGTTTACATCTTGTCCAAATATCAATTTGTTTTGTATACTCATGTCAACCTCAAATATTACTTTATTGCAAAATATTGAATTGTACATACATCATGCATTGTTAGTTAGAGGAAACACGCATACCTTGGAAATACGTTGAACTATGGGCCTATGGCCTCTCAGTTTGCAATGAAAAAACAATGATAAACAAAAAACACATTTTTTTATCAAATTAACTTCGAAACATTTAAGAAAATGTGAATCGAATGCATGCCTAAATGGTTATGGGTGTGCATGATTATTAAGACATCATGTATCTTCTTTTGTCCTCTGATCTCCGGTCGTTGAAGCTGATCTCAAACGTATACAAATGTAATTGACATTTCTTGGAAGTTGACGAATGGCAAGTTTACAAAAAATATGAATAACAACTTGTTTGTTTGACTGTGATAGCGACGTTTCGGTAGAGATCCGTATACCGTTGTCAAGCAAGCACGAAGATGATACAGAGTTATATGTGGTAGGTGAAGAATTAACAGCAATAACAATCACCATCATACATGCGGTGTTCATTAGCCAGTCTTGCTTGACAACGGCGTAAGGATCTTTACCGAAACGACGCTATTACAGCATAATAGAGAATCTGCTATCCATAATACTTTTGGTAACTTTGCAAATGTAGTTAAAATGGTTTATTCAATAATATTGATAATAAGAGGTAATTTTAATATGCGCCAAATTTCCAATCACCAAATGATTTTCTCGCTACAGACACATCAAGGCTAGACAGTTGTGTTTGTGGAACAGGGATATTTAATATCTAAAGCTGTTTACTCGTGAGGATTCAACGATATGATTGGTACTCAATTAATTTATTCCTTACACGGACTAATAGATTGGCACAGAATCGATTATGCGTGAAAACGGGCTGTAGACGATACCGAAAGCAGTACCGAAAGCAAAGCAGCCTGAAAAAAGAGAGGAATATCTTAGGTGCCAACCATTTAAACTTCTTGGGGTAGGGGGTAAAAGGGGACTGAGGGAAGATGGGTTTTGGTGTTGGTTGGAGATATGATATTGCCTGGATGTGTTGGTTGATGTCTCCACTGCTTACACGCACAGGAGGATTATAGTTGTGTACAAGGTGTACGCATATAGTCAGATGTAAATACACCTTATGGCGCACAGTCATAGAGAGGAAATAGTCATTCATAATGAATTTGTTTAAAGCATGGTTCGCAGTGGAAGACTAAACTAAACTAAACATGAACTTACCTTTCAATCAACTAAACGTGAAATCCCCTTGTAATCAACTAAACGTGAAATCCCCTTATAATCAACTAAACAATGAAAATGTGATAAGATCAAATGAAATGGATTTGAAACTAAAAGTGAAGTTGCCGTATGGTAACAATGTAAATGGGTAACTCTCACAACTATTTCTATTCTGTTCTATTCTATTTCTGTAATATTCTAATTCACTATTTGCTAACTTAGAGAGAGATATCCATTTACTCCTTGCCCATATGAATGCCAGAAGACAACTGAAATAAACTGTTTCTAGAGCATGCGCATTTTGCGCTCATCCAGCAAGAAGCACGTGCTGCATGCCAACTTTAACGCTTTCCGCGAAGCTGTTGTGTACCCATGCGTCAACCACTGTGTCCAGGAACATGAAACTTGTTCCCGGACACTTGTTCCCGGACGCTTCAGAACAAACCATATTTTTAAAATCATGCGTTTCGTTACTTTTGTATGAGACAGCATCAGTCAGAGCTTTAGATATCCGATGTTATACTCCGAAATGGGGAGCCAAACAGGTCTTGTATTTATCCCCATTCAATTGGTCCCCCCTTATTGTTTAGTTAAATTATTTAGATTTAATATGCATTTGATTTTAATCAACCCGACTGCATTTGACCAAGCGAAACAAATGCCAACTACACAACCCACGAAGACTGGAAGATATCGTTGCTATACAGATATCAATGCTATCTTGCCAAATATTGCGATAAAGCAAGCATATTTCAACAGAGAGAGGTAGGGAAACAGGTTATCGATTGCTTCATTAAAAATAATGTAATTCTGGAGTGTGCGTTATGGTATGCCATTAAGTTATCTCCGGCTACGTAGGTGAATAGCTGGGCCTGGTGCCAGTCTCTTGTGTAGGGAGACTGGTATTAGTCTAGTGGTGTAGGGAGACTGGTGACAGTCTAATGGTGTAGGGAGACTGGTGTCTGTCTAGTGGTGTAGGGAGACTGGTATTAGTCTAGTGGTGTAGAGAGACTGGTGTCAGTCTAAAGGTGTAGGGAGACTTGTGTCAGTCTAGTGGTGAAGGGGGACTGGTTTCCCTCAGTGGTGAGAGGGACTGGTCTAGTGGTGTAGAGAGACTGGTGTCAGTCTAGTGGTGTAGGGAGACTGGTGTTTGTCTAGTGGTGAAGGGGGACTGGTCTATTGGTGGAGAGAGACTGGTGTCTGTCTAGTGGTGAAGGGGGACTGGTCTAGTGGTGTAGAGAGACTGGTGTCTGTCTAGTGGTGAATGGGGACTGGTCTAGTGGTGTAGAGCGACTGGTGTCAGTCTAGTGGTGAAGGGGGACTGGTCTAGTGGTGTAGGGAGACTGGTGTCTGTCTAGTGCTGAAGGGGGACTGGTCTAGTGGTGTAGGGAGACTGGTGTCTGTCTAGTGCTGAAGGGGGACTGGTCTAGTGGTGTAGGGAGACTGGTGTCAGTCTAGTGGTGAAGGGGGACTGGTCTAGTGGTGTAGAGAGACTGGTGTCAGTCTAGTGGTGAAGGGGGACTGGTCTAGTGGTGTAGGGAGACTGGTGTCAGTCTAGTGGTGAAGGGGGACTGGTCTAGTGGTGTAGGGAGACTGGTATCAGTCTAGTGGTGAAGGGGGACTGGTCTAGTGGTGTAGGGAGACTGGTGTCAGTCTAGTGGTGAAGGGGGACTGGTTTAGTGGTGTAGAGAGACTGGTGTCAGTCTAGTGGTTAAGGGGGACTGGTCTAGTGGTGTAAAGAGACTGGTGTCAGTCTAGTGGTGAAGGAGGACTGGTCTAGTGGTGTAGGGAGACTGGTGTCCGTCTAATGATGTAGGGAGACTGGTGTCTGTCTAGTGGTGTAGGGAGACTGGTATCAGTCTGGTGGTGTAGGGAGACTGGTGTCAGTCTAGTGGTGAAGGGAGACTGGTGTCAGTCTAGTGGTGAAGGGAGACTGGTGTCTGTCAAGTGATGTAGGGAGACTGGCGTCAGTCTAGTCATGTAGGGAGACTGGTCTAATGCTGTAGGTAGACTGGCAACAGTCTAGTGGAGTAGGGACCCTGGGTCTAGCGGTGTAGGTAGACTGGCAACAGTCTAGTGGAGTAGGGAACCTGGGTCTAGCGGTGTAGGGAAACTGGCATCAGTCTAGCGGTGTAGGGAAACTGCCAACAGTCTAGTGGTGTAGGGAGACTGGCATCAGTCTAATAATGTAGGTAGACTGGCATCAGTCTAGTCATGTGGAGAGGCCGGCATCAGTCTAGTGGTGTATGGTGACTGGTGATATTCCCACAATCAGCTGCATTTTCCAGATAACACATGAATGTTCAAAGATGTCGGACTTGGTTAAATAATAGGAGATAAACTAACGCTGATATGAGCAGATGCAGACAAGACTATGTCCCTTGCACAGCCCCGACTGTTGGCTGGCTACAAATATTACTGGATGTATTACTCAAATACTTCAAATGACACAGCTGGCGCATGCTCCCGTCATGAATAATACATTCAAATTAAAAATATTTATTAGTCCTTCGGGCTACGAAAGTAAGTTTGTCTTTTTGTTTGTTTGTTTGTTGTTTAACGCCGCACTCAACACTATTCCAGCTATATGACGGCGTTCTTTAAGTAATCGAGTCTGGACCAGACAATCCAGTGATGGACATCATGATCCACGCATTTGGGATACGATGACAAGCATCAACCAAGTCAGCGAGCCTGACTTTCCGATACCGTTAATTATAAGCACCACTTACGACAAGCATGCTGAATACCAATTTAACCCTGATCTTCACGGGTTCTAGTCCAGCTACTAATGGCAGGCCACGTGGCTGGTCGTCACGCCCCTCGCCATCATTGTAAGACGCCGCACAGATGTGAGCCGGTCTTAACTAACCTAGACCCGTGAAAACCCGGTGTAGAATAGGTCTTCAGCAACCCATGCTTGCCGTAAAAGGCGACTATGCTTGTCGTTAGAGGCGATTAACGGGATCGGGTGGTCAGGCTCATACTCATAACAAATAACACGTAAACTTTCATCCTTGGTAATCTCATCACCATGGTGTCGCAATACTTTCCACACGCAGGATATTTTTACCCACTTTCCAGGTTTACAGTTCATGAGTCCGTGAACTGTAGACAGCTGTAACTATACAAGTGCAATCTCATTAAAATCAGACTTTAGTTCTCGCTACCGCTATCATCCGACCAATCAGAGCGTCGCTTACCAGATTATGAACGTGACAGTCGGAATGTGATTTCTACTCATGCATCCACGAAAACTTTAACACGGGTATTCCGAACGATAGTTACGAGTTTAACGGCTG